AGAGGCTATAGTTAAGGAACAGAAATGTGAGAATTCAAGCCTGGCCGTGGAGCTGTCTTGGATGACACCAGATATCAAGTTAGCGAAAGCAGGGGATTGCTAAAGTAAAGTAGAGATGGACTCGTTTGATTTTGTTTCTTACTTACAGATTAAAGACTCCAAGCACCGTGCTAATGCTAGGAGAGGTATCAAATAGCATATATGGCTTTTCCTTCAAGGGACTAGCAGCTTGGTAAGATCAAATAGTATTTAGCAGTTACACAAACATGTTTAATACTACAGAGAATAAGTGCTGGAATAAAGGAATCAGGAAGTCTAAGGGCACTGAAGTGGGAGAGATTCAGTCCAAACACGTGGGTTATAGAAAATATCATGGAATAGATGGCATCTGAGTTTAATGTCTTAAAATTTGAATTGGATTTTGACAGGTAGAAATCACACAACTGGTATTTCTAACAGGTTTTTGAGGAGTTAAGAAGTCCAGTCTACAATCTTCAAAATACCATCTGATGTGTGTGGGATATGTGTTGCCTTCTTCATTTCATGAATAGAGAAACTGCAGGTCAGAGAGTTTCATGGCTTTAACTGACTTGCAAGGACCTCAGAGATATTGAAAGAGCACAGATGGGTGTTTCAGACAAAGGAGTGCTGGGGAGAAAGACGCCGTTGCATAAAGTGCAGGACTTATTTAGGGAATGATGAGGATGTGATTTCAACTCATGAAACAATTGGTGAATTTAAGGTCTGGAAAATAAGTTACAAAAACTAACTTGAAAAAGCTCCTGATGTACCTAAACAGCTTAGGTTTTGTGCCTGAAAAATTAAAGTGACGACAAGGTAGTGAACCAAGGTAGTGCACACAGGGCAGAAACAACGCAGGACTACTGTGTGTGGATTACACTCAATAAGACAGAGGAAAATGCAGAAATCCCAATCCAAGGGCCTTTTCTTATTTCTTCCTTTCCTTCAATAACATTCTCCCACCAATTAACTGATAATAAAATCAATATTCTGTCCACTCACACAGGGCCCCTCTGTGAGACTGACTTTTCTCACTGATAATTTTGCGTGTTGCAATACGCTTCCAACGTCCCTCAGACTTTATTCTCACTTTTGTCCATATTCTTCACCCCACAGAGAGACATTTCTACAATATAAACACGATCCTTTGTCTCCAATGCTTCAGTGTCTCCACTGGCTCCCCTGACCCTCAGGATCAGGGAGACATGCTGCAGCAAGATTTCTGAGTGATCACTGATTACGCCTCATGTGATCACCAGCTTCATGGCTTGCCTCTTCTTCTGATCCACACAATGTGCCAGACAATCCATATTTCTCTGGATATGCTATGCTTTTCATGCCTCGGATGTTTGTTTTGGATTAATTATCTTCTGTCTAAGCATTGTGCTTTCCCTTACCTGCCCCAACCGAGCCATTCCACTGCTTAGCCCAACATGATGGAGTAGCTTTGACTCTACTTCCGCCTTTATAATTCATTTTACAAAGCAGTTATTTCACATCATTTCTAATGCCTTTAAGGGGGAAATTACACATAGTACTTCAGCCATATGTGGAAGTACTGAGATCCACCAAGCACTCAGCAAATCATTCTTAAATCTGTAAATCATTCTCATTTTTTAGAGGAAATTGAGGCACAACTAAGTGAACTAAGTTGCTCCATCTTCGCTTTCATCAATATATGTTTATTTTCATTCCGTATCACCTCGTGTTTGACCAGTTATAGTCCTCTTTTCACTGGTCTAACAGGACCACCCAAGCCACACAAATCTAGCCATGGTGGTCCTCTATGTAGAGGTCAGCATTGGTCCCTTGTAGACTTTAAGCCCACCTCATTCCGAGCCTGCCTGCTTTTCCACGGTGAGCTCCTAGAACTCATGCTCATTCCAGCCACTCCAAACTTGCACATTTTAGTCTTTGCAACTGTTGTTCCTTGTGTATGTAAGCACAAGCCCCCATGTGGGGTAAAATCAACAATGAATCAAAACAGGACTCATTATACTAACTAGAGATGATGTATATTTATTTGATTGCTTATGTGAGGTTGAAAATTATTCATGAATTTGATAGTGAGCAGTATATTTTTATTCAAGGAAGACTAAAATTTGTATTTTAAATGAATGAATAAACCTACTTTGAAATTGGCCAAAATTTGAAAATACATTTTACTGCCAGAGCAATTACCAAGAATCTTTAGAAAACTTTACAAATGGAGAGTGGAAAACTGAGTCTGAATGAAAAAAAACCTCAGACTATCCAAGTATTCAGTAATATATATCTATATCTATATATAGATATAGATATCTCAGAATATATATTATATATGTGATATATACATATAATACTAAGACACATAATTTTGTCTGGGTGTCCATAAGATTACTATAAATGTTGTAAAATGTAATGTCTCACAATGCTAATGGGTAATAGAGTCTATTGATTTAATATTGAATATTGTTAAATAAGATAAAACAAAGAAGATTGTTATTTTTTATCTTGAGTTAAATAATTAGATTTTTTAAAAGCCACAAATAAAAACAAAAACACTGCAGTTTTTCCCTAGTGCTTAATGAGACAATAATTCTTGTGGAGACATTTTCTTTTAACACTGAAATATTGCAATCAAGACCATATTGATGATTATTCAGGGGAATATTGTACATAGAACTTCAGCTGTATATTAAAGTATTTAGATCCACCAATTATTCAGAAAATACTAGTTAAATCTTCACATAAATTGTTATTGTTCTCATTTTTAGAGGAAATTGAGGCACAACTAAATGAGCTAACTTACCAATACCTTTCTTTACTTAGTAATAGAGGCCCCAGATAACTGTAATGTTTATGATCAACCTATTCTATAAGAGGTCATATGTAATCAAAGAAACTGTTCAAGTATTTAACTTACGTTCATAAAAGGGTATCCATCAATTTTGAAAAGTTGAAACCGAATGTAAAAAGTGATATATATTAACTTATGAGCCTAGGTTTATACAAGATCAGCCCCTCAGAATTATTCTATGTAGGGACTATTGTAACATCTATAAATACATAGGTTGCAGATTTGATATAAATGTGTTGACTTTTATCTGCTAAAGTTACCTAGCTTCTATTATTCATTTGAGCAGAGAAGACTGCGATGTTCAAGATATGCTTTAATTCATGGTACATGAAGCAATGGTTACAATAACCAGACAGTGGAAAGAAATATGTATTACTAAACTCCAATTATTTCTCATATTCTATGGATGATTAAACTTCTGTCTGAATACTTTAAACATCTTATCATTAAACTTCAAAATTAAAGTTAAAAATATGTGAGATTATAGCATTCTTTTCATTCAATGTGTATGCTGTCACAAATTCAAACTAACTTTATTTCAAAGAGATGGACGATAGTTATACTTCTGAAATTCTTTTAATGTATTTTTAAAAGGAAACCAAAAAAGAAAGCATATCTGAGCATGTTCCTCTTTTCTTTTTTTGAAATGGAGTCTCACTATGTTTCCAGGCTGGAGTGCAGTGGCATCATCTCGGCTCACTGCAACCTCCGCCTCCCGGGTTCGAGTGATTCTCTTGCCTCAGCCTCCCAAGTAGCTGGGACTACAGGTGGCACCACCACACCCAGCTAATTTCTATTTTTAGTAGAGATGGGGTTTCGCCATGTTGGCCAGGATGGTCTTGATCTCTTGACCTCATATCCGCCCACTTCGGTCTCCCCAAGTGCTGGGATTACAGGTGTGAGCTACCATGCTGGCCCTGTTTCATTATAAAGTGCTGTGTCAAAAGATGAGATCCAGTTTCTCTAAAAACATTAATAATTTGAACCTTCACAGCCCTGAATGCCAAAGGCCTTACCATGTGCCTAGTTCTGAGACAGGAAGGCAGAGTGTTGTTGACCTACCCGTAGACCTGAGCTCTGTGGGTTTTTCTTGTTTGAGGAATAAGCTCATGTTTGATATCCACAAATGTCTAGTATAAGAGCCAGGAAAGATGTTTGTTTGGAGAAAACATATACATTTATGCATTTTACATTGCATTTTGAATACTGAATTGCAGAAGTTTTCTATTTCGTAATTGGCTGGAATTGAGATATAGTTTTGTGTATTGTGTTGCACAATAGAGCGATTCTCAAGCATCAGATTTTGGCTGGCTACCATTAATTTTGGGATTTTATCTATTCCTGTCCATTAAGTTTATATCTAAACATTACACTATCTGGATGCTGGGGAAAAAAAAAGTCATTGAAGATGTAGGGAGCACTTTTAAATTGAGTAGCACCTTTGCGAACAATTTTAAAAGGCATTATTTAATTGTCTATAACAACAAAAACAAAAATCAATAAAAGACTGTCAGAATGCATAGACTGATTATTGCATTTGACGAAAAAGTTCAATGTTAATGAAATTTGCAACATTCATGCAAATGGAGAGCATGGTCATTCAGATCTAGAAAGGAGGTTATCTTTGCGAAGATGAGCAGGCTGAGAATAAGTTCCAAAGTGGAAGCACTTTGTCTATGTGGAGAGCAAGTGACTTTTTGATATCACGCTTAATATTTTATTGCCTGTGTTTGCGATCTTTCTAAGTCAGAAGATGCATTGACAAATGTTAAGAGGAGACAATAGTAGCCAAAATAATAAGTAAATGATGCACATTGTTATAGCAAACTGGGAAAATAAGGCATCTAAAATTTCTTAGATTCTCTTTCATTTACATATTGTAGGTTTTAGAAGTCGAAGTTTCTCCGTAGTTATCTGAATCTAAAGATGCTTCCTACTAATTTGAAATTCCACGTTATTTGGGTCTATTTTCAGTGTTTTATTTAAAAGAGATAGATCTATAAAGTCAGGTAAACAAATATGAATTCAAAGGCTGGTATTTATATTGTTTGAAAAATGAGTTTTTCAACTGATGCTATTAAGAGTTGCAAATAGATCTATGACATGACGTTTTGATCTGATTTGTTCTGAACATCTGCAGGCAGAATGCCTTTCAAGTCATTGCTGTGGACGGGGTGTGCAGTGGGATTATTCAGTGCCTCTCTGCTGAAGACTGCATTGACTGGCTGCAAGCAATAGCGACTAATATTTCAAATCTCACAAAGCACAATGTAAGTAACGATTCAGGGAATACCTAGCCAGGGTTTCTCAGGCTTTGTAAAATCCTTCAATATAAATATAACTTCACATCAACTGTTTGATCTTCTCAGAGTGAGACACTTCACATTAATTATGAAAGCTATTCTGGAATATTTATTGAAAGGAAATTACTTTGGAAGTTCTAGCCCAATTTATGAGCTCAATAATACGCAGATTTCCATTAACAAGTATCGTAAGCACCTATATTACCTAAGCAAATCAAAATAAGTAGTTAGCATATAATCACTAAATATCTTTAGGGAAAAGCATTCTGGACTAATATAGTACTTGATTTCAAGCTAACAGTATTGGTTTACCTTTAGTGATCTTAGACTTGCAGCTAGGAAGATTTGAGGAGGAGGAGGCCAGGATGAAAGGAGTTAGCATGAAGAAGGTGGGAACGGTCAGAAGATTGCCACTGTCTCTCATTAGACAGAGCCTGGTCTGTATTATTAGAAATGGCTTCTCTGCATTTTCTCTCTTTCCACTCCAACCTTTCCTTCCTTTCACATTCCTGTGTCTCTTTATTATAGCTTTATTCTAATTCTTTTAGCTCTTTAATAACCTAAACAATTCTTTATCCCTGTTATTAAAACTTCTATGAGAAATATAGTCTAACAAAATATACAAAACCATAAACCTCACCTCACCATCAATCTAGGTATCAGTAATGATAATTGTTTTAGAAAAAAATATTTGTCATCATCTGTGCCTTTGTGTTCATTCTTTCCTTAGCCCACAATTGTTCCATGCCATGTTGAGGCATTTGAGAGTTCCTAAGGGAGATCAGGAGTCTAATAACAAATGATCAAGCAGAAATACATAGCTCTGTTCACCAGACATGATGAGCACATAAAATGCTTCTTATGTAAATGACACCTCAGATCCAAATATCCTTGCGCAGAGTAGACTCTGCTTTGACATCTAAGAAGGGATTGTGGCCAGTATGCCTTCCTAAAACAAAAGGAGGATCACTAGCCAATAAAGGCAACTGTCTTGTTTCCAGTCTCTGGCTGTTTCAAATAAGGCCATAATACTGGCCATACATATGGTGACAGGATGCTCTGGGAGTGAAGTTGACAGTCATGGCATATGTGCATGGTCAATGTTACCAGGCAATGCTAAATGTTTTCCAATTGGCTGTGCAATTTACCCCACACTCTTGGTTGATGACATGTCTCTTTCTATAGATAGTTTCCAAAACTCTGTGCCACCTGCCTTTTAAATTTTTGGTTATTTGATACCTGTGAAAATATGCTTCCAGTGTAAATAAAAACACATTTTGGGTGGTTCCAGAATAGGTATAGTATGCCAACACTTACCCAGGGTCACCCCTCAACAAGGAGGCTAGACAGGGGTGTGCCTGACTTGGGCAAGAGTGGGCTCTCATTCCCAGCCCAGCCCTTGCTAATCCAGTGTTATCAACATGTTAGAGTTGAGGTTGCACAAGAGGGTGTATGTTTCAGAACGACTGAAATGCAAAGAAATGCAGTGTTTCTCAACAGATTTTTCCACTTCCTCGTCTGACTTATATTGATGTTTCTAGAGTTAAAGACAGAAAAATACCTCATGAGAGTAGAACTCTCCATTTCTTTACAGAAATGATTAGAGATCTTAAAAATGAGACATGATCTTATATTTGTGAGAAAAATATTTTTGAAAGAACAGAATGTTAAACTTATGTTCAAAGATTTTTTTCCTTACTTGGATCCAAGTTTGCTCTGACTTAAAATCCTAGGAATACTGTCCTGTTGTATTTCTTCAAAAGGTCTATTCAGTTAGAATGCTGTGCTTCCACTGAGAAGCATTTGAAAAGGCAGTGCTTTAGTTAAAAACAACAACAACAGAAGAGTGAAGATGCAAATGTATCTACCCTCTGTAAGCCTAAGGAGGGACAAGCCAAATTTTGCTCCTTGTTTTTCATTCTTGTAATAAGTGCTCACCATGATGCAAAGGAAAGCAAATGATTCCCTTATACTATTGGTTTAACTGTTGGGAGATCCATATGTCTGTTGCCACATTAAAAGTTATCTATTTGCTCTTTCACTTCCTGTTTCTATATTAGAATTGCATGTTCTTTTGTTCTTGTAATCAGTTCCCTTTCAAAAGTATTAGGTTACAATGTACTCTGATATGGAAAGTACTACATAAATGTTGAAAAGTTATTAGGCATAGCGATAAAACATGGGAAAGTCACATTGACTTCAGAGAAGGCACAGTGACTGCATTGATGACACAATTAACATGGTTCATTAGCCTAAAGAAAGAAATTAGGTGGAAAAAGTAGGTAGGAAACCTTTGCTTAGGATAGTTAGGTATCAGTTTTAGTTCTCTTACTTTTTGATTCTAAGGGGATGCTGCAAATAATACCTTATGGAAAGATGGAGAACTTTTTCTTTACTTGCCAATATTCTGAGAGAGTATAGGCTTGTATAAGTCTGACTTGAGTAGTTTATCTGTTGATAATAGATGTAGAAATAAAAATATTGTGATAAATATTTAAAGAAATTCCCCTCAAGAGATTATCAGGCATAAAATAAAATCAAAAAAAATTAAAATGAATATAAAATAATAAGTTTGACAGTTTAAAAATCATGTGATTGAAGTAAGACATACATACGTATATAAACTTTTTAATAATGAATCAAATTTTATTGTAAAGCTAGTTGGAGAATAGATGGGGAAGGATAAAAGAGAGTAAAAACAACACAAAAACAAAAACAAAAAACAGCCTTTGCAGGAATAATTAGAACAATGTGCTGACCATTTTCTTTTCTCTTTACTCACTACTTTCTAAAAGTAATTTTGTGAGACAAGGATTTTCATACACATTTTTAAAAAATTCCAGGTAATTATAGTTGCTGTCTGAAAAAATTCTTCTTCCAGAAATCATTGATCATAATGTCTAAAATACCTAGACAAACACTGACAACTTAAAATTGTATTTTATCATTATTCGGAATGGCTCCAAACATTTACAATAGCTGTTAATAGTTAATACTTAGTAAATGGTCTCTAGCAGAAAGAGGGTGAGGCTTTAGACTTGTTTTAAGCTGTGTTGGCAGAGCTCAGCTCATTTTACTTAACTTCTATGCTTTCACATTAGAAAGCAAAGAATGGCAGAAGCTATGGTGCTGTGATGTGGGTGGTGTTCAGCTCATTTCTTCACCAGCTCTCAAATAATGAGCATTTGCTATTGTTTTAAATGAGCATTCACTCTCAGTGAACTATTGCTTTACGTAAAATAGACTTGAGCAGATTCTAAAAGCTTAAATTTATATATTGTAAGAAACAGTAATTGCTTCCAATGAATAACCTACCAAATTTTGTTCATTTATTATTTCACCACCTATATGAACAGGTATTAGTAGAAAGTTATTAATTTTTATTTCCATGATCATTTCATATTAAATAATTGAAGACTGTTAAATATGCTAATGTTATAATACGATTAAGTTTTTGGGAACCCTGGAAATAAATAAATATATCTGGCATAATGTACAATAGATATGAATCATCAGAGTTTGCTGGGCAGGTTGGTAAGATGCTCCCCTATGATGTTCACTTCCTGCCATTTACACCCTTATGGGATTACCGTCCATGTGCGTTGGCTGCATAGTGAGCTCTGAAGCAGATGCTTCTTTTACAAAACTTCAGATGAGATAGCAGATAATGCTTGAGAGCCTTTTGAGAAACCCAGTACATGCTAACCCACGCTGATCACATGCTGAGGGCTCAGCAGGATCTGTAACTAAAGTAGATCTGCAAGAAGCCTTCATCAGTTATAGGTTTTTGATGTGGATATTTTTGGAGGAGCATTTTTGGCCTACCACAAGAACTATCTGGCAGGTGAACAGGATGATTAGATTTAGACAGTTCTGTCTGATTTTCATGTGGTGTCTCCAATAGCAGTTTCAAAGCCTTTGCTCTGCCATTTGGGAGTATTCTCCAAGTGCATTGCTTGGGGTGGGCCCAGAGCTTCTCGCAGTTCACACATAAAATTGGGACATTGCCTTCTTCCCCTCCCTCCCAGATGGGAGTTCCTTACTCTCACTGGGTTCCAGCATCACTTTCTTTGATCTTCTGTCCAGAAATCTAAGGCTTTTCTAAGAGTTTAGTTTCCTGTACTGATGCACATTTCCTCATGGCTGGAGAAGACAGCATGAGAAAAAGAAAAAAGAATGGGGACACCTCATGCCAGAGAAACTCGTTTTTTTCAGTTCCTTTACACTGTCAATGGGTTTTCTCTCTGGGTTTCTGGCTGGCCCAGCTGCCCCAGGCTCCCTGGCAGCAGCTGCGTGGCCGGCGGGCCTTGGATTCAGCTCAGGAGCCAAAACAGAGGAATAGTCACAGAGATGTCTTCTACAGCTGCTGGCTGGCAGGGACCTCTTCCCAGGTCTCTGATCAGCGAGACATACTCTCTCAGAGTCTTTGTTTGTTGTCCGTGACTTAATTTGTCTTGGTCTCGAGTCCATGCTGGGAGATAAAGGAAGCAAGAAAAAGAAAAGAAAAAAATAAATGAAAACTGAAAACTCCTGGTGGCGATATTAGTCGTTACTCAATGTTGACTTCTTTCCTCAGAGTTCTTGCTGTTATTTACCGTCCAATGCTCTCAGATAGTTGCCTTTTGAATTTTATTAAGAGTATTGAGGTATGATCGGTGGGAAAGATGGCTGCAGTGGTTTTATTCCATCTTGACTCTAACTGGAAGCAATAGATACTTTTAATAGAAAAAAAATGTAAGAAACAAAGCAATTACACGATATTTGTAGAGTGTTAGAAGAAAATAACTATCTGAATCTGCTGTGCTTTGGAAATATTATTTAAAAGTCCTGATAAATTTATTTTCAGTAAAATAGAAAACTCAAGAAAAATCAACAAAACAAAGATTTACTAAAGGAAATACTCAAGAGTACTTTTAAGTTTTTTGAATTTTTATTTATTCAACAAATATTTATTGAATACTTGTCTA